GGGAAGTTACGTACCGAGTCTATCTTGGCTGGGTCTACTTTTACGCCTTCTCCAGAGATTATGTGACCAAGGAATTTCACAGACTCTTTCATCCAGTGACACTTCGATGGCTTCAAAGTCAGGCCAGCTTTACAGATTCTTTCCAATACCAAGTCCAGTCTTCGGAGGTGTTCTTCTTCTGTGGGTGCAAAAACTATAACATCGTCCAAATAGACGAGGGAGTGTGTCCAGTGAAGTCCGGAAAGTACCAAATCCATCAGCCTCTGAAAAGTAGCTGGGGCGTTAGCAAGGCCAAAGGGCATAACTCGGAATTCCCAGTGTCCATTGTGAGTAGCAAAGGCAGTCTTTTCAATGTCAGCTATTTTCATAGGAATCTGCCAAAAACCAGATTGAAGATCAAGGGTTGAAAACCAAGCTGCGTTTCCAAGGGCATCAAGCGTTTCGTCTATTGGAGGGAGAGGATATGCATCTTTCTTAGTTGCTTCGTTCAGTCGCCGGTAGTCCACACAGAATCTGAATTCACCATTTGGTTTCTCCAACAGTAGGACTGGACTGCTCCAAGGGCTGGCTGATGGCTGTATGATGTTGGAAAGAAGCATTTTCTGCACCTCCTTTGCAATTTGCTGTCTCTTTGTCTCTGGCACACGGTACGGACGCTGTCTGACAGGTTGAGCCTCTTGCACATCGATTGAGTGTTCTACAAGACGGGTTGTTCCCAACTGATTTGACTTGGGCCATACGTGATGTTTCTTCAGGACATGGAGAAGGTTCGCTTGTTGCTCGTCTGAAAGGTGACTGATTTTCAGGTCTTCGAAGGGTAGCACTGCACAGGCATCTTTATCAGCTTGATCTTCGTGGACAGAGTTCACTTCTGAAACAAATGGCTGCAAATGCACAAGCTTAGTACCAGGCTGTAGGGAAACTTCGCTACGAGTGGTGTTAACCAACTCGATCAGAACAGAATCATTTATATCAGCTTTAGTAACAACAGGGGCAAACATAACTCGCTCATCGGTTTTAACTAATTGCCGTTCCCCAAACAAAGCTAAACCACAATGATTTGCAAATAATTTTGCTCTAATACGCACAGGTGTCCCTACAGGTAAACTTGTTACAGACCCTAAAACTGCAATACATTCAGACGGTAAATTTTCGAAGGAGACGTCAGTGCAGCCTAATCTAATCTTCTTACGACCATAATCAATAACGACATTTTGCTCTCTCAAAAATTCATCACCTAACAACAAATCAAATTTAAATTGTTCAACAATAATAACAGGCAAATCGAATCTTATATTTCCAATTTCGAGCCATACTCTACCCTTACCAACGATAGATAGTGCTTTACCTCCGGCTCCAACCAAACATACATGAGAATCGACAATTCTATTTCCTAAATTAACTTTCTTCCAAAAATCAAAATCCATTAGTGAATATTTAGCCCCAGTATCAAGAAAAATATCTGAATCGACATTATTTACATGGCCTCTTACCCAAACACCTTCTTTTGCAAGCCTCGAAGCCAACGAACAATTCAAATCTACGGGGATATCTTGCGCCTCAGGAAAAGTGGGAATCCCCTCTCCGACTTCTCCGGCGTTGGCATCAGGACAGCTGATTTTCATTTGGGTAAATGGCACCGTCCGCGATCGGATTTGTTCTGCTACGATGCTGTGGCTGGTACTGGTGTTGGCTCTGGCTCTGGTTCTGAATCTTGATCTGGCTTCTGTTTCGGGTTGGATTCTGGTTCGAATTCTGAGGGAAATTTCGCTTGATATGATCTGGCTGATTGCAACGAAAACAAGTTCCTCTTCCTCTTTGAGCACTTTGGAATTGGGGGTACGGGGCAGCTGACTGTGCCGACTGAGCTGCCAAGTTCTGAACAGCCAAAGTTAGGTTCTGGATAGCTTTCCATATTTCTTCATTGCTTTTTGCTCGGTCTTCATTAAAACGCTGAATTGTGGCCATAACATCTTCGAAAATTTCGTTGACCCGCGATTTTTTTCCCATGGAGTTGAGATAAACCTCTCGCCTTTCAGCTGCGGTTATTGCCTCCTGGAATGATTGTGGGCACTTTTCCCAAACGGTTTCTTTTATTTCGTGGTGCAAACCCTTGATGAATTGCTCACAAGCGATGCGGTCTCATCTTTCTCCATCGTCCAAACCATCGTGTCCCTTTACCACCAAGCAGTCTATGCGCTCTGCGAAATCCATCACTGACTCCCTTGATCCTTGGGTGGTTTCCTGCAGCTTCTGCCGGGCTAAAAATCGTTTTTCTTCTGTGTTGAACAGATCCTCCAATGCCTCTTTCATTGATTCCAGATCTTGTCTCGTTTCGTGAGGGATCTTCCAAAAGGTTCTTGCCGCGCGGCCACTCAGATACGCCGGTAACATCTGCAATTGATGCTGGTCTTGCCATCCATTGGCCGTTGCTGCGATATCCCATTTTATCAACCATTCCGTGATGTCCTCTTTATCTTTACCAGAAATAGTTGCGATATCAATGATCGTGCTTCTAGACCTAGGTGCTGGTACAGGTCTCTCGGGGGCCAGTTGAGCTGCAACGGCTTCGTTTTCTTCTCTGTATGCCATTCTTATGCTTTTCAGGTTCGTCAAAATGTTAGTTTCAATTAAAAATCCCACTCCTGTCACCAAAAAGTGTCGCAAACCCAGAGAGTAAAACACCAAAAAAGGCTGTGTTTATAACTCAGACACTTTAATACAAATAAAACATACGAAGCATACTAGGCCCTAATTTAACCTAAAGTCTTACGACGAGTGACAGAGTTTCGTTCAAATAGCTTCTCCTGTCTCCATCCAATTAACTCTACTTAAACTACAACTTGTATCTATGTACGAATGGAATCTTAAATTAGCAATACACGATGATTATGGTAACTAACCGATAACAAGTAAAAGGAAGGGCTAGGTTAAATGATGCCATGCAACGTAAACATATCTAAATCAAAAGTATGCAAAAATCATAGAAAACTACGCTAATGATAAAACAACAACATAGGGACGAGAATGAGTAAACTATGACTAGGCCTAAACAATGCTGGGACAATCCCGCACCTGCAACATAAACAATGGAAGGGGGCGTCGTCAACATGAGATAATGCTATGACGCGAGACATATGACGTACGAACGAGTGGTATGCCACAGCTAATGGTATGCAAAAAGGAACATAGAGAAAATCCTAACAATGAATGGGCTAAGGGGTATCTAACAAAATGGCCTAACTATACTTAAGAAAATTGTGACAATTTAGACTGAAAGCCATCTTTCATAACATATGCTATGTTATTAATGCTTTATCCTCGTCGCCAATGTTATATTCTCTTAATTCCGTAGGCCAACTCATATAGAAGACACTTTGTTTACTTTCATATTCGAATCCAAAACACAACTAACTCAAATTCCATAACACCCTTGTTATATAGCAAAGCATAACAAAAAAATTGCTGCACAGGGCAACCAAAGCAAGGTTCATTACTCATAATAATAATAATGAAGGTTCATTTTATGACACTAATGACACAGTTATTGTTGCTGAGAGTAACGCAATCCGAGGTAAATGGAAGAATCCTTGAAGTATTCCCGGGACCTGATGGACGAGTGTCCAATGTCAAAGTAAAAACAGCAACAGGAGAATACAGTCACCCAGTGACAGAGATAGCAGTTATATGCCCAGCAGAAGGATATGAAAAAATATCTTTATATATTTGATAAGGACCACGCCCTTATCGGGGGCGGAGGATGTTTCGTTGATTATATATTCTTAAAGGACATTATAATTATGTTGACAAGTTGCTTTGTATTATCCCGCTCTGCTTTATTCTTATGTAAATTAGTTTTAGTTAGTAGCATTCACACGTTGGAAAATAGAACATGATCGTTACCGCATGCTAACCAGGAATAATATTTAACCAGAAACCAGTTTATCGAAGACACTTTTGAGACATCACCATAAGTAAGTAAATTTATTTTATTGATTCTTCGTATTCAGTTTCAATTCCAGTTATTCAGTTTATCGTCGCTGTAAGACGTTTTATGTATTTACTATATTCATAATTTGCTTGTTTTAGATCGAATAAGATTTTCATTATACGATTGGGTGTCTTGTTCTAAAGTTTGTCCTGTGAAGAAACAATGTAGTTACCAAGAAAAATTCATTCTTGACAATCATTTATATTCTATATTTGTTATATATTATCACGAAGATACACCTTCTTGGAGTGGGGTGCGCAGGGTAAGCCCAAGATTCTCCGCATCCTATTTAAAACACTTTTTCGCTCTGGAACACAGCACAAGGAAATACCAATACCATACCAGTATACCTTGCTGGCAATCTATAACTCAATCAGCGCCTGCAACGAAGGGAGCAGGTGGAGCCATGGCCCTCTCACTTTTTTGCAAAACAATAGAGCTTTTTTCAAAATCTTTTGCTTTGGGCGTTAAATTTTCCCATGACTCCTCTTCTTTCAGACCTGTGTCGGAGCCCATGTCAATTTCTAGGAAGGTAGACTACTTAAATGCTAACCAATTAGGTTGGAGAGTATACATCAAAACAGCGGAGAGGCTCAGCACAGGGGTTGTGCCAGAAAAATTTCTTAGGGCAAGCGCAGTCACGTAGCTGTGGATATCGGCTGGGCTGGGTAAACAGCTAGAATCATACGTCGAGGGGGCATGCCATTCATAAATTTTTAGCAAAAACTCGCACACGTTTCCGATTGCTTGCTCTTACACCGGCTGAGAATACATGCTTAAAAACTTTGCTGTCACTTTCTTAATTACCCTTGTCATCGGGTAATTTTCTAAGGTTTGATTGTACATATCCCTTGGTGTCTCCAAGATGGCCCTTCACGGAAAATGTTGCAAAAAACAATAGAGTACCGAAGTCGTGACGTCAGGTTGCCATGGAAGCGTTTCAACTGGTTCTAAACAAAGTTTTCATCATGGCGTCTGGTTTCGAGTAGCAAAACATGGGCGAAGAAAAATGGTACAGTGTTTTGCCCCGGACTGCAATCATCAGTCAGAAAGGGAGACATGCAAATTTTATAGATTTCCTAAGAGCCCTAGTGAGTTTGAACGGTGGAAAAAGCTGTTGAGGTAAGAATGTTTTAGTTGGTTCACTTCGTGTTATCTTCGTGTTATCTTCGTGTTGCCTCATGGCAATTATCTTTGTCTTATGGTAGTCTTGATTTAATGGCTTTTATATTGTCAAAAGCATTTTAAACCATAGCTAATATTATGGTTAGATGCTTGATTAAATAGATACGTATTAAATTTATCTTTTTAGACGACAAGACCGAGCTCCGGGAAGTAATTCGCGTGTTTGTAGCTGCCATTTCCACGACGAATTAAAAGTAAATGGCCCCGAAATCTTCAAAAGAAATGCAGATAAATTCTTTCCAACCACCGAAGTACGAAAGCCGAAAATTGCTAAAAAGGTAAAGCCAGCTACCGAAAATCCTAGTGGCCTAATGTTAGTTTCAGACATCGTTGAACAGTATTACGCCTCTGCTGCCTCCACTTCAAGAGAAAACAACACAGAAACGCCAACTCAAGAAGTTCTGCTTCAAATTGAAGTAGAAAATCTAAGAAAGGAAGTAAAGGATTTGAAAATTAAAGGGACGTACCAGAGGGAAGTTTACTCCGTATTATCACTGAAAGATGAGGTAATTTGCATGGAGACTGGCCTAACAAATAAGGATATATTCCTTATCGTTGTAAATTTTGTAAGACGGTTCTCAAATGATATCGACTACTATTATGGCTGGAAAGTTGACAAGATTTTGTTGGAAGATCAAGTTTTTATAACCCTAATGAAAGTACGACAGAACTATACAAACCTGCACTTGGCTGAGCTTTTTCACTGTAGCACTTCAACGATCAGTAATATAATATTAACATTTGTTCATGTACTTTGCAAGCTGCTTTATGAGGACTGTTTAAAAACTGTGCCTTCAAGGGAAAAGAACAGAACCTCTATGCCTGAATCATTTTCATTGTTTGGCCATTGTAAAATGATCATTGACTGCACTGATATTGAGGTTGCTGCCCCTGGCTTGATGAGTGAACAGAAACTGATCTATTCAACATACCGAGGAATGAACTCATTCAAGACACTGATTGGGGTTGCACCAAATGCTGTCATTACTTATGTAAGCAAACTGTTTCCTGGCTCAACATCTGATAAAGCCATTGTTGAAAAATGGAGTTGCTTTTTTAGCCTTTAGCACACTCCCAAAATTGCTTGCAGTCAGTCTTCCCTTTCGTAAAATATGCCAAGAGGGGTTTTCTTGTTGTTTTATGGTGACTTGATTCACTTTCAACCGCTGTTCTGCAGTGATTTCTAATCTTTTAACAAGATATTCGCGCTGGTTATTATGATTAATGAATTCTGATGATACAATGATGTCTTCAACGGGGGTAATTGGGAGTAGAGCTTTTGCTGGCTCGGGAGAGAGAAGCCACAAAGTACCAGTAAAGCTGCCATACTTTTTGAGTTCTTGGTAGAACCAGGACCTATCATCATCATTAAACTGTCGTTTAAGACAGTTGTATTCTTTTGGGCATGGATAGAGTTCTTCTACAGATTTTACATCTAGCGAAGCCTTCTGCTTCTTCCATTCGCACTCGACATCTGTTCGACTAAGGTTGTGGATCCCATGGATTATAATTGCAGCGGCATGAGCACACTTGTAACTTCCACGAGGACATTCACACTCAGATGATATTATTTCATCATTACGGAGGAATACCTAAATTTAAAGCAGAGACCAGAATTTAACTTGGAATTCTAAGATGAAAAGGGAAGAAGAATGATAAACTTAAAGAATAATCATGAATAATCGTTAGGCCTACTACAAAATATAATGTTAGGAGCTAGGGTAATAAGATACATTATATTCGCTTACCGTAACTTTATAGAACTTGTTCTTCATACTAGCGTGCACTGATCCTCGAATTACTCCATCAGAATAATAAAAAGATTCAACATGGTCGGATCTGAAGTGATTTTCACCTCGTTGGATTGATTTCGGCTCGTCCGAGAAGAAAGCCGTGAGAGCACTTATCGTAATGGCCGCCATGTTGGTTGAAGCGGACGTTTGTTTAGAACCAGTAAAAAGTGACTCCATGGTAACCTGACGTCCCACTTCGGTACTCTATACTCCCCTGTATTCCACGCCAACCTGCCCTTTTTCTAACAGCAGGGATTTCCGGATCAAGATTCATTGTGTCTTCCCAGACATCATTGAAGTCGAGGGCTTCCAACACATCTTGAAAATCCTCTAACATTGAAGACAGCTGCACCGCATCAAGTGTTGGCTTTTGCATCATTTTAATAATCGGTGCGCAAAAACTAAATATCTTTCTGTAAAGTTTAAGCAGAAAAACAAACTTAATATGCTGAATTTTTGTGCATAGTCTCCTTGCAGTTGTTCGTATTTCCGATTTCTCATCTCCATCTAGAGCCATTTCAAATAACACTGTTCCAATAACCTCATACAAAGAATCGATAGCTTCTATTGCGGTGTCTCGAGAGAGCCAGCGGGTATCGCCAGGTTTGGGCAAACTACGGCCAAGTAAATGTTTGCGTTTCGGGCTACTTCTGAAGAATTTAACGACACTGTCAACAGTATCAAAAAAGCTGGCAACATTTTGAATTTTCCTTGCTGTTTGAGAGGCACAAAGCGACATCCTGTGTGCAACACAATGGTTGTAAAAAGCGAACGGAAAATTATCTTGAACTTGTCTCTGCACACCGCTTAATGCACCACTCATCGACGGAGCTCCATCATAAGACTGGCCAATCAGCTTTTCCTCATCCTTGTCTGGAAGCACTTTGTAATTGCTCAGTGTTTGCATTAAAATATTAGTCAAGCCATCGGCCGATTGATCTCTTGACGAATCAACCATTGCCAGCAAATGTTCTTCGATCTCTCCATTATTGATTAGCCGCACCGAGATCGCCAACTGCTCAACGTTACTGATGTCACTAGTGTCATCCATCATAACGGACAGAAACGTAGAATTTTTGATCCGCTTTTCAATTTCAGTTCTGACTTCCTGATACATACACTCGATCAGATCATTCTGCGGGTCATGCGACGTGTAGGTAATTCGTTCGTTGTCGAGAAATTCTCGTAGTTCATTACAGTAGGATCCTAAAAGGTCCAATAATTCGACAAAGTTACCCCTATTTGACGAAGATTTGGATTCATCGTGCGCTCGAAATGCCAAACCTTGTGCTGACAAAAATAATGCAATGTTAATATGGTGCTGAAGTATGCGTGTGCATTTTGTGGCCTTGTGGTTATGCTGGGCAATTGATCTGGCTCTTGCTTCATCTAGTGCACATGCCACGTCAGTATTACCAAGCAAATTGAGAGCGGTGTGGTTCATAATGTGAAGCTTAGATGATTGGTGCCTATCTGCTATGTTAGCAAGGCTTCCTCCAGTTGATCGATATCCAGCCTCTTGAACAAAACACACCTTTTGCATCTAACAATAAAAAATGAAAAATGGTTAAGAGAGTGTATTTATGAAATGAAGAAAGTATATTTGATTGGAAGCAACATGAAAAATGACACATCAACAGAGACAAATGTGACAACCACTTTAAGTCAGTTGAAAAAATGTAGTTTTAAATCAAAATCGAAACTTCAGTATTCAGATTGTGTTTGTCCCGATTTTATTTCCTACAAAATACGTGTCCCAATGTTTACGAAACAGTAGCGAGAACGGAAAAACTTTACACCTATATTTCTCTCAATGGGGGGGCTTTATTCTAGATTGCACTGAATGCCAAAATCATAGCGTCAAACAATAATTTATTCTTAACAACCTCCCTATCCTCTTTTAACAACGTTAGTTTAGAAGAACTGCCTTAATAAATATCTAGCAATGAAAATAATTCATAAGAATTACTTTCTAAACATGGCACATTTACCCCTAGACACACATGACATAAAACATGAACGCTTTTCATTTTGGCATCATTCAAGACATGGCAGTCTCTCGCATTAATAGAATCGCATTTCTATTCATGGGGCTATCACTTAGAGCAGTCAGCCGTCCACGCTCATAATATTTCAAAACTATGAGCGTGGCTGTGTTTTGATTTTATGGCTGCCACGAGAAAGATAAGATCAAGACAACAAAAGCGCTATTGCGATAGAACGCAAAGGGCACAAACAAATCTATTTAAATTGATTAAATACTCCATATGTAAAAGCATGGGTCAAAGGACAGACAACACCTGGAAAAATGGTCGTCATGCTCATTGAATTATCTTCTATTGGAAATTTGAACTTTATTTTCTGTGGAAAAAAACTTGCTCATAGAATATTCATACTATGAGCAGTGCCCGCCGCCCGTGCAACCCATAGTTCTGAGAATATGTTTCAGTTCACATTGTAAAATCTTTTCCAGGTGTACTAAATTTCTTGTAATGTTGCTTCCGTTCTTGAAACTTTGCTTCCGTTCTTGAAACTTTGCTTTCGCTTTTTTTATTGTTGTCTCCAAAATCATCATACTCTATAGTCTATAGATACCTATAGGTATCAGACTGTGCTAAGTGAGGCAAGGTCACTCTCACTACCTTCCTTCTTTCTGTGGCCTGCGTGTGATTAACAAAATGAGCAAAAAAGTTTCTGCGAACCCAAGAAAAAGAGAAAGAACTAAACTGAAATGTCTTGTACGTGGCTGTAATCAAACATGTGATGATGATTTTGGAACATCTAACAGCATTAAGTATAATAAACACTTGCTGTCAAAAAAGAAAAGCCATATGAAACGTATGCCAAAGAATCTATTATATTCTCACTGTGTAGAAATGCTTAAAGAAACGCCGTGTACTCGAATCAATACTCAAATTTCAACTAACTATTTACATAACTAACATGTGGCTAATAAGCAGTCATAGGGTGTCCATATCATAATAAAATATCCCTCCCTTTCTTCGGAATGTCCCTTCTCGGGATGAAATACAAGCAAACCAAAACAAATATTATGTGATTATATTGAACATGGTAAGTACTTAATGAGATACAACTGTTCTGTGAAAGTTTGTCATCATCCTGTTTCGTACATGATATCTACATTGAGGTTGTTCTTCTTCCTGGTTCTGTTCATTATTCTGTTCATTATTCTGTTCATTGAATTCATCTTCACTTTCACTGTCCTCGAAGCTGTTGTCTTTAATATTTGCTATTCCTTTGAATACTTTGAAAAACGATTTGTTTCTTGTAATTTTGTGATTTGGATTTTGAGCTGTGACTCTTGAGCCTTTGAATTCTGTTACAATGTATGGATTTGTACTGTACCGGCTTGTGAAGCTATTCTTCTTTTGTCTTACAAGGACTTGGTGTCCTATCTTTACTTCTGAATAATTTGTATGATTTCTCTTGTCATAATACTCTTTAGCTTTCTGTTTGATTTTTTTCTCCTTTCCTGCTAAGTCTTTGTGCTTGTTTATTGGGACTGGACTTTCTGGTAGATGTGGTATCTTTGCTCTTATTGTTCTGTCGAACAACAACTGTGCAGAAGATATTCCAGTTACACAATGAGGCGAGCTTCTGTAATTCAGTGAAAATTCATACAGTTCTTTAGTTGTGTTCTTGCTCTCAATCTGAGGCGTTTGAAGTGGTTTCTTTAACGGTCGCATAAATGCCTCAGCTTCTGCATTACGCTGGGGCCATAATGGTGTATCAGGTACATGTTCGATACCCCATTATTTCATGTATCATGCCCACTCATAACTTTGAAAAGGAGATCCATTGTTGCTAATCAGCTTTTCTGGTATTTCGTGAGTAGAAAATATTTTTATGAAATTTGGATATGACAGCGACTGCAGAAGTAGATTTTACAAATTCCACCTCTGGGAAATGAGAATAACAGTCATAGACGACAAGCAGATACTCTTCTTATGGTAAAGGTCCTTGAAGGTGTGCCATGGGTGTGGTGGTAGTGTACTTGATGCCATTGGTTCTTTGCTTGATGCTTTGCCTGTTGCTTGACATGGGAGGCAAAGTTCTATTTGCTCTTGGGTGAATTTGTCAATGAATCATATTTTCTCTCTAATCAATATCTTTGTTTTGGTAATGCCCATGTGTCCTTGATGTGCTAAGTCTGTGGCTTTCTTGCGCAATGTTCCCGGAATAATGATTTGGCTGTTTTTCAAAAAAAGGTTTCCTTTCACTGTCAAAGTTTGCTGTATGGAATAGAAAAATTTCAGTTCATCTTTGTTAATTTCTGGATCTGCAATTGTCTTTATTGTATGCCATTGATTACTTTTGTGCAATTCCATAATTTTTTGCAGTGTGGGGTCCTTTGATGTTGCTAGTTCAATTTTATAATGGTCATGGCGTTAGGTACTGAAGAGTCCACAAATAGACAAAGAGTAACACAAATATAAAGACGTGCTTCTGTCACTTCGGTGTTACATCATAATAACCTGATAATCAAACAGCCTCGTTTAGAATATGACATTCCTCCCCTTATTACAAAACAAAACATAACATAACATAATTGATAAAGTACACATAACATGGTTCTATTGTGTCTGTTGCATTGTTAGATTAAAACTCAGTCTGAAAGTTTTCATCTCTGTATCTAGCAGGAGCTTGTCTTATTCTCACTGGTCTCCCTATTGGTCTCTCTATTCTCACTGGTTTCTTCTCTTTCATCAGTGTCAGGTGAAAGTGGCTGTGTGGTATAATCTCCTTCGCACCTTGACTTGTTCTCATCCAGCCTTTGTAGCTTCTTGAAAAATGTAATATGTCTTGTGATGGTTCTTGTGGCATTTCTGGCTGTAACTAAACTGCCTTTCCTCTTCACAACAATCATCGGCTCGCTGTTGAAAGGTGTGGTTTTCTTGTTGAGCTTCGCTTGTCGACACAGAACTGTGTCCCCTACTTTAATATCTAGTTCTTTTACATAACTCTTGCTGTCTGCGTTCTGCTTCATTGTTTCTTTGCTCCTAGCATCCTTTGTACGCACCTCTCTGTCATAAAGCAATATTTTCTTACTGGTAGGTGCTGGAAGACGTGTCTTGTACCTTCGTCCATTGAAAAAGGAGACTGGCTGGAGAATGCTTTGTCATTGTGTGTGGAGTAGCATAAGCGTCAAATCTTGATTGGCTAGGAAAGGAATCACCGCCACGGGAATCGTCTTCAAACTGAACCAATAAGGTTGCGAGAAAGTCTTCGAGAAGCACGTTTTTTGGCCTCATGAACCCCCTCCCTTTAAAAAGAATCTGATCACACATACAGTGGGGGAATGGGATAAAACTTGGCTATTTTAATCCAATGACCCCGACGCACATTTCCAGAAAGAGCAAACGCGCGATCTCAAGTTTTGCGAAAGTTATGGAGGGAATTGTCAAATCTTGCGCCATCGGCCTTTTCCGTGTTATCATGGTTGAATTCTGGGATTTGACAGACGTGTTTTGCTGAGTTTATTCTACAGGGAGCTGTATTTTGACGGGAAAACTATTGCAAAGAGTTTTGAATCTGTGATGGATTGGCAACAGGTATTTTCATGTGCATCGATACTGTAAACTCTAGTCATAGAAACACAAAATGTTGCATGGGGGGTTGTAGCTGGATGAAGCAGAATGTTAATACCCACGGGGCTTTGATTACAATTTTCACATGTTTTGGTCGAAATTTAAATGGAGTGAAAACAACTAGAGTTTACTGTATCAATAATTTATAGCATAGTTTAGAGGCCTAGGCCACGTTTCTGTCTTTAGTAAAATCGATTTTCGAGTTTTTAATAATTCAAATAGGACCATTTATAAGGCCCCAGCTACAAATTTCTTGTTGAATTTGTAGGCACGATTCTCCAGCGTCCAGGTTGTCTTCTTCCACAATTTCATCATCGGTAATGTCATCATCTTCGTGCGCATTCGACGTTGGAGTTTCTTTGATGTCTGGATTGAATATAGATTCCTTCGCTGTTGAGGCTAGGGTCTTCATGGCCTTGAGAATCTCCTCACTGCAAACTGTACATGCCCGTTTCTCTTCACCGGACAAGCATTCAGTGTGGAAGGAGTGCCCACATGTCTGGAACAATATGATGCCAGATCCTGTCTCTTGGTGTGTACAGTCAGCTAAGTCGCATTTGCTACAACGAAAATTTCGTTTAAGTTCCAGACATTTTATAAAAATTTCGTATAAGTGGAGCATATCATTTTATTGTAATTTTGAAGGCAATTATTATGAGACAATGAGACCTAGCAATAATTTGTGTTCGGTTCAAAACATATTTTACTTTGCATTTAGTTGTTATTTGATAAGTAGCTATAGATTTTTAACTTGACAATACTAAAAAAATTGATTTTGACACCAGCTCATTTTAAATAATCAGTAAAGAGTTTATTTCTAAACTTGAAATTGGCTAGGTAAATAGGACAAGGAATTGAAACAAATCCAAGGGTATATGATTTTGGATATTGTATACTTGTAAACAGTTGTATACTAAGCAAAGTACTTATATTTTATATATGCACTAAAAACAATTTTTAAAAATTTTTTGCTAAAGTGTTTTTATCTATTTGGCAGTTTGCCCAGCTCTCGGTGCTACAAACCTTAAAGGATTTGGTTCCTTCCCTGCAAACTGAAATCCTACTGGTAGCACTTTCGATGAAACAATGGTTTCTCCATATATATGAGGCAGTTTCCAATATGTCATGCCTTTTTGCCGATTTGCTGGGCGATTGACTTGGGATGCTGCATTTGGCTGTTCCTTTATACTTTTTAAAATGTTGAAAATAAATTTGGATGCCTTGATTTTCAGCTGTTTGAGTTTTGAACTGCTGAAGTTAAATTTTTTTGGCCTCATAAATGCTGATGAAAATTTAGCTGATGTTGTCTTGTTGCTGTCAACTTCTTTGGCCTTTCTTGAGATCAGTTCAGCATCATCAGATTGCACTGTTTGTGATCTTAAGAGAGAGTGGAAGTTCTCCACTGGGTATTCATCAAAAGCATTGAGGCTTCTTAAAAGAGCTTGAAAAAGTGGATGATTGTTAGCCTTCCAAAACAGAATATTACTTAGCCAGACCAAAGGAGCTTTGTTATAATGATGTCTTTTGTAGCAAAAGAACATTAACCAACACCTCAACACTGCATCCAGGTACTCAGAGGTTCTTCCAGTTTTAAAGATGACTGAGTAGATAGACAGTACAAGTGGAAGGTAATTGTCTAAGATGTTCAAGAGAGTTAAGAACTCTATGCTTTTGCAATTGGAGAAAATGACAATTACTTGTTCTCTGATGAGTGTCCACCCACCATAAAGTATCTCTAACAGCAAAGAAATTCTCCATGGTTTTGGCTTGTTTGCAAGTTGCTTTTTATCCCCAAAGATAAAGGAATAGAACATTTTAAAGAAGTCAATGTTTAGAAGGCAAACACATTCTCTCGCATTCAGCTGAATATGCAGAGGACCAATCATTGGTATAATGTTTTTCAAGCAAGATGGAAAGTTTTCAGGAATGTTATACTGAACCTGTCTCATATAGAATTGAGCAGGCCAGTCCCCAGGCTGGGGGCAAAGAAAGTACTGAAGATATTTTTGAAGACCAAGTTTCAAGGCATGAGCAGAAGTTTTGAGAAAGTCGTCAAAACTTCTCAATTTTTGCTCAACCTCATCTACAAGTTTGCAATTTTCCATCTTTCGCAGAGATTTTGTGCTGGTTTGATCCTGTTGGTAATCATGGATTTCTAAGCGGCTTCTTTCAATCTCAGGGTTGAAAAATGAAGATTTGACCCAGTATGGCATGATGGTTGCAAAAGAAGAAAGCAAGTTTGGTAAATTTTCTTTCAAATGATTTTCCAGGATTTCAATGCTTATCCCATCTTGATTGAAGAAGCTGGCATCAGTAGAAGAAATAGCAGGTATTGATGGAAACTTTTTTAGAAGTATGGTTGCCATTTTTGTTGCTGTTGAAGTTACCTGAAATAAAACCAAAAATTAAACCATAATTTTACAAGCTAATAACAATTGCACAATGCAAATATATTCTTATGCAGATGTTAGGGAGAAAAGCAATTTTTTGCAATAAAACTTAGATTCTGCAAGTCAAGTGTATAAACATATGTCTAATACACAAAGTTTAATCAACTCAAGTCATCTTGAATTACTTTTTAAAGATGAGTTATACCTGGTCTTTTGGTCGACGAATGGTATGCACATTGGTGTAATCATCTATCATCAGTGTCAGGAGACATTTCTTTTCGATGGCTTCATCAATGAATTTAATGACAGTTGACTCGTGGGAATCTGCTGTTCTAATCAAGTCCCTTCTTTGGGTCGATTTGGAAACAGATATGCCAGTTTGATTTAAGATTGCAAGCCCAGATTCACTGATTCCCTTTCCTGTCATATTTTGGGCAAAAATTTTCTGGAACCAATTGGCTTTTTGGGATTGTCCATACACCAACATGTATATTATGGCCACAGCTTTCTTTTCATTTTGCTCTTTCTTGAAAGGCGTCTGGTGTTCCTGTGACATTGCTGTTGTGATGGCATGAAACAGCTTTGTTGCACCTGCAGTCCTGCAAACCTCCTGGATCTTTTCTGGCTCAAATGGAGGAATGGTTTCGCTACTTCCATAGCTAAACCACAGCTGCTCACGGAGAAGTTTAACCTCCAGTTGCAAGTCAACCCTGCTTGTTATGACCTTTTCCAGCTTGGGAAGAATGCTAGTGGGGATATAAACAAATTCATTTGATACCTCCACAGCACCTATGCCATCAAGGACTTCAACATGAACACCTTCTGTTGGTATATACTTTATCATTTCTTTTGGAACTAAGCAAAATGTTTTACCATTGATGGTTGCTTCCTCAAACAATGGCTGTTGAATCTCATCTGCAGATTGAGGTTCCTCATGGAGAACATCCACAGAAAATTCTTGCGAGCGAAAATTGCTAGCTTGAGATGATTGGCTTGATTCATATTCTACAATGCTTTCCTTCAACTGAAATTAAGTTGTTAAAAGATAGTTTTATCTGAAGAAGAGACACACGAAAATATCAAGATGACATACAAAAAGTAGATGTTTTGAAGACCTTAGTGGAACTACAATTATTTCATAATGAAATGAAATTAGCATTTGCGTTATTGCTGCTTCATGTGTCTGAATTACCATAAATCCTCTAATAAGCCCCTACTGCTACTGTTAATCCTAGAATTTGCCCCCCTCAATTTGTTAATTTTTGCTATCTAAGGTTGCCTTTGATGTTTTATTGAAACTCATACTTTTGGTAATAATTAATTAAATGTTCAGATTTACGGTATGTCAGATTTAGGGGGGCAAAACCACTCCATTATTTCCCTTACCTAAATTTTGAAACTTGACAAGATTTTGTTTAAATAAGTTTAACAGTTTTTTCATGTAAATACTGTATTAGTGCTAGGAAGTGCCCCTCATTTTAAAATGCTATGTAACAAAATACCCCTTCCCTTCAATGCTAAAAACTTTTGTTCAAACTTTTAAATGAATGCAATCTTAGTAAGGCATTTGTTATGAAAATGTAGAGACAATTAATCAAGCATAATTGAAATATCTGTGTTTAAAGGCCTCCTTTGAGGACACACCCCTCTTATTATAATAATTATTGTGTCCTTACCTTTCTATAAGAGTGTAAAGCTTCAAAGTTAGTTGGTAGTTTGGATGTATATGTCCGTTTGTTCCAGCACTTTATCAGGCAGTCGGTACAAAACTTGTCCCTGAGTTTCCTGCTTTTTTGTTCAAACGCAGTATAAAAAACACTTTTCTGGCCAACTATGAACTTTAAATTAAGAAAAACATTCGAATTACTTCTCCATTCGTCATGTTTAGAATTGGCACATTGCGTATTATATTTTCTTCCCATTTCTGAAAATTATCAATTTCGTAACAAGCGAAAACGAGTGTTTCGATTATTTTTTCTCCACCTACAACCTGTGTATGGGCAGTGGGGGTAACACACCCCGTTGTCAGGAATTCGATTTTTGTTATAAAATCTTACATTTTAAGACAATAGACATATTGTTTAATTGACAATTGACAATAGATATTTTGTTTTACCAGATGTACTATTTATTCCTTCTTGATCCCCCCGTTTGGGATTAACTGGATTTGATCCACATTTCGCGCCAAAACTGTTTTTCCGATTCGCACTATACCATCGTAAATGTCACGTGAGTTTTACATAGTTTCCATGTTTGTGGATGTTATGTTGCGAAACAGTTATATGAATTTTGTATCACCTAAGATTATGGTTGCCAAACCAACAGCTTTGTAAGTACCATGTTTTAATTTTCTAATTAATTTGAAATGCTATTGAAGTTTACCACCCTATGGATCTTATATTTGAACGGATTCTTATTGGCGATACTAATAGGCCATACAAAACATTAGCAAAACCGTGCTTCTCGAAGACTTTCTCGCAACCTTATTGGTTCAGTTCGAAGACGATTCCCGTGGCGGTGATTCCTTTCCTAGCCAATCAAGATTTGACGCTTATGCTGTGTGGAGTAGCTCTGTAGGCCCTCGGGTATTTCTGTAATTCCTGTCTCTAGTTTAGACGCTCTTCTGTGGAGGAGCAAATGATTTTTCCTAGGTTTTTCATAAAATTTTCGGCCATGCCATTCGCCCATGGTGCATATGGTATTTTCTTTTTGTGCTCAAAACCCATGTATCTTGCATACGATTTGAATTCCTCACTGCTATATGGTGGCCCATTGTCACTTGCTATATCATCTGGGATTCCTGATGTTGAGAAAATTTTGTCCATTGCTGGTATGACTTCTGTACCAGAAGTTGAACGCACGATTTCGACCATAGGAAATCTGGAGAACAGGCATTGTACAACCAGCAGGTATTCACCAGTGTCTAATGGACCATATAGGTCTGTTGCAAGTTTAGACCATGGTTCTGTGGGTAGTTCTGTTGGCTTGAGTGGCTCTTGCTGATGAATATCTGTATTTGCCTGGCATGCCATGCATTGTGCAATTTCTGTTTCAACCCTCTTATCTAATCTTATCTCATGAGCAAGGGTTGTCACAGACTGC